ATGTAGAAAACTTATGTTGATGTGAAATTGCCACCAATAGGTTTTGTTGTTCAGGTGTTTTTCAGTTGTGTTTGACTCTGTAACCCCATTTGGGGTTTTCTTGGCAAAGATACTAGAATGGTTTGCCTTTTCTTTCTCCAGCTCATTTTACAGATGAGGAACTAAGGCAAGCAGGGTGAAATGACTTGCCCAAGGTCACACAGCTAGCAAGTGTCTGAGGCTGTATTTGAACTCAGGAAGATGTGTCTTCCTGATTCCAGGTCTGGTACTCTATCCACTGTGCCATGTAGCTGCCTATCAATGGATTTATTACAAAGTTTTAATCTTCTATAGCATCAGTTTCAGCAACATATTGTAAATAGGAAACCAAATGAGCATCTTTATAACTGTATCCATTTGCAATGCAAAATGGGAAGATTTTGGTTTCTTAGTTAATCACAAAGGTCTTGAGATATATGGGCAATTTTTCTTCCACATTCTTTGCAAATTAAAAATTGCTTTGCATAAGGTTAACCAAGTGAGGTTTCACACTATTGAATTATTTCTAAGCAGTGTTAGTTAATGCTAACAATATTTTTTATTTGCAGAAATTTTTTCAAAGTTTGTTTTTGCTTATCAAAAATATTTAATTTTCTCTGGAAATAATCTTGCCTTGCTAGTCTATTCTGAATATATACTTTGAAATATTTTAATTTATTAGGTTTCTTATTGTCCAAATCTAAAACACTTGTACAAAGCAAACACCAGCAGTCTTCCTATCTGTCAATGATAGTTTTTGTGACTCTCATGATGAATATAGTGAATTGTATTTTCCTTACTTGGGCTTTTTGCTTTGTATTTCTATATTTCCACTGCTTCAACTGTCTTTATTGTATTTGATCTACCTGCAGCTGCTTTAGTTGATTTTCTCTTTGAATCAGTTATTTATTTATCAGAAAAGGGTATTGTTTCACTTTTAAAAATAGAATAAAGGGGCAGATAGGTGGTGCACTGGGTAGAGCTCTGGCCTTGGAGTCAGGAGAACCTGAGTTCAAATCTGGCCTCAGACACTTGTCACGTACTAGCTGTGTGACCCTGGGCAAGTCACTTAACCCCAATTGCCTCACCAAAGAGTAAAAAAAAAAAAATAAAAATAAAAATTTTGAGACAGTTAAGTATATATTTAATTGTGGAAAATTTCAAATGATGAAAATAAAATAGATAAAGTGTTTTCAAAGTTAGGAGTTTTGGGGGAAAGAGCTTATTATATTACATTTACAGAAATTAATCATTTTGAAATAGAACAGATTTTTTTTTTTTTTGGTGAGGCAGTTCGCATTAAGTGACTTGCCCAGAGTCACACAGCTAGTGAGTATTGTATCTGAGGCCGAATTTGAACTCAGGTCCTCCTGACTCCAGGGCTGGTGCTCTATCCACTGTGCCACCTAGCTGCCCCTAAAAGAGATTTTAAGGTACTTTTAATTTTCACACAAAGATTGTTTAGCTTTGGATTTATACACTTCGTGTTCAAATACACAAAGTAGTCTCATGACATAACTCACTGGTGTCTTGAGCCTATACAGCTGATGTTGATGGTGACACAACACACCTGCATTGACATTCATTGCATGCCAACTCATATTTTATCTAATTTGTTCATTCCATATTAAATGTTACACTACATTTCTTCTCAGTGAGAGCTTTAGTCTTGCTTTTGTTGACTTTGATTTGAACCTTGACTTCTTAAAAAACTTGATATATTATAATGGCAATTGTATTGGAAGATATTAAGTTATTTTGGTCATTGTTTGGTGGACCTCCTTCTTACTGAATCCCTTCTCATTTCCCCTCCCAAACTCTTCCCAGGGGATGTTACCAACCCACAGTTGGAATACTGCTTTAAGACGTTTTACAAATATTCTGGCCGCCTTTCCACCTGACAAGCCCGCCTCTTGCGCTGGTTGTATATTTCCTTGTTGATTAGCCTTACACCATTTTTTCAGTGCTTTGGGCTATCATTCCAAACCTACTGCTTCCTTCTTATGCCCATCATACACTTCTCCTTAGATCTTTGGGTCAACTACAAGTTTAGTTCTATAGAGACTCTGCTGTTGCAAGCATTCAGCCATGTGGCTTGGCTTCATGGGAAGAACATTTATAAAGAAGCTTGAGATCAGAAAAGCACTGTGCATATTTCCAAATGTAATCTAGCCTAATTTTTATATTAATCATTTTTGACATTTTGCTAGTGGCATGTTTTAAAAGGAAAACAGTTTTTCATATGGTCATTGAGTACTCTGATACCTCATTTTATCCTCACAACAACTCTGAGAAATAAGTGCTGCTATTATCATCTTTCTCGAGACCTGCCCAGGGCGACGCAGGCTAGTTTGGAACTCTGGTCTTCCTGGTTCTGGGCTCAGTGCTCAGTGCACTGCACCAGTGGTATAGGTTTATAGGCAATGAAATGAATTCTGTTCCAGACATCCAGTTGGAATTGGTTTTGTCTTGTGTGTGCTTGTGCAGTGTTTCTCTCCGACACTTATTTATCAGCTGGTTGATGGCAATTGACCAGTAGCTGTGGAGGAAGGTGCTTGACTTGTCCACAGGGATTTTTCTCTTCAATCATGGCTATGATTAAAATCATGAAAACAGGTCTGGTGATCTGGGGGACACTTCTATTTTTAAGGCTCTTGGGTTCAGGGTTTTGGGCTATCTTCATCAGGGTCTGAAGAGAGAAGGGTGATCAAGATGGTGTTGGTGTGACTCATGGCTGTCTCTCCTTTGGGGTACCTTGCTGCTTAAGTTAGACTAGCTTGCCTTTTCCTGAGTAGTTAAGTGACTTGCTTTGGAGTCATACACAGACAGTATGAGGCAGTGAACCCAGAACTTAGCTCCAAGCAGGCTTTCCATTATCAGCACCAAGCTTCCTCTTCAGACTTTATATTGTTCTATTAAATTTAATCACATTTGATTTGACTATTTCACTCAGTAATGAAATATTTTAGATTCTTGCCCATCATCCAGTGTGCTACCTATCTACCCCAATTTTGTGTCAGCTCCAGTTTAGATATTCATGTCTTCCATCAACATCTTTATCTTAATCACTGGCAAAAATGTTAAGTAGCACAGGCCTAAGTATAGAACTCTGGGGTACTCCATTGTAGACATCCTTTCAAGTTGACTTCTTGGGCTTCAGTTTCCTCAGTAAAATGAGGGGTTTGAAGTAGGTGATTTCTAAGGTGTCTGCTGTTTTTTAACACTTTCTTTTATTTGATGAATTTCCTGTAGTGGAAAGAGCTATGGATTTTACAGTCTAAGGACCTAGATTTGAATCTTGCCTCTCACATACTTACCTGTGTGACCCAGGGAAATCCCTTTTAATAGTAATCATTAGCATTTACCTGGTCTGTAAAGCACTTTAAAACAGTATCTCATTTTATCCTCACAACAACCTTGGGAGGTGGTGCTAATATTATCCCCATTTTACAGATGGGGAAACTGAGGCAGCAAAGATTTTAACTGAGTTATCCAGGGTCACACAGGTAGCAAGTAACTGAAGCCAGATATGAAACCAAGTCTTCCTGACAGCTGCCAGGTCTAGCTCTCTACCCACTGGGCTCCCTAATTCTCTCTAGGCTATTTGTTCTCGACTCTAGATTTCCCAAGTAAAGTAAAATCTAGGAGCGTTTATTAAGTGCCTAATATGTTCCAGGAACTGTGCTGAGCACAATTTTTACAGCCAGTGAAAATGCACAAAATCAGGATAGAGAATGCCTTGTGTGAAGGAGAGGGAAGAGTCCAGTGCCACTTCATCACAGAGTACATGGGAGAAATGTAAACTGTAGGAAGACTGGAAAGGTAGAAAAGAACCAGCTTATGAATAACTTTAAGAGCTAAACAAAATGTTTTGTATTTTTACTGGGAGGCAAGAGGGAGCCATTGGAGTTTATAGAATGTGGAATATGACTTGCTTAGACCTATACTTTAAGGAAGATCAATCTGACAGCTATGTGGAGGATGGATTGCACTGGGGAGAAACTTGGGCTAGTGGGTGGAGGAAGATCCACTGAAGGAAACAGAAGGAGCGGTCAGATGGGTGAGAGCCAGGAGAAAGCGGTATCACAAAAACCTAGAGAGAAAAGAGTGTTGAGGAGAAGAGGATGACCACCAGTGTCAGAGGTTATAGGGCAGTTGATGAAGAGGTTGTACTCAGTTTCCTCTCAGATCCAAATCTTGTAATTGATTGCATGTATATGTGAGTATTTTCAGCCATAAATTATCAGCCACTTTCCAGTCTGAGACTCGGTTAGACTTAAACCCTATTAACTCTGTCTGATATGTGAATCAATGATGGGCATTCAAATAGGGCATTCCAATCTTATGAATATTAGTAAATATTTAGGAGAAGGAAAGAACTTTTATATTCCCCTTCTGTCAGGAGGTCATATTCTGTAAGATCAGATGCTTCCGGACAAGGAGTGGGACTGGCATCATGAGAAAAGCCATTTGGAGGAAAAACAGTTGTTTGGCAATAAAATTCACAGCAGGAAGCTTTTTGAAAGGCAACACAAGCATTCTGTGTGTGTGTAGGATCATGCTAACAGCTGACATTCTTGTTTAGCAGCCGCTTTGTTAGTTCTTGATTCTTGGAAGACCTATTGTAATATAAAATAATTGACTTTGTAGTTGTAGCTTCATGAATTAGCATTCCAGTCAAGGTCATTGAGGAGACGATGACTGCCTCATTCTGTAGTTACACTATCCAGTCAAGAACAATAGAACTGGCAGCAAAAATATCCTGAACTGCTCACTGACACAATCCTTTCACATTTGACAGTCCTTTTAATATAATAAATTGGGTTCACTCTTACTTTCTGTAGTACCTAGGTCTTTGACTGGGAAAGTACAAGGGTTTGAATCCTATTGCTCTTATTTGCGTGGCATGTGACAGATGTATGTCAGAAAAATGGGGGTCTCTGGCTTTAATAGGTGTAATGGACAATGTATTTTTCCTTTAGGATCAAATTGAACTCAGTGAATCAGCAAGACTGGCTAATGGGGTCACCGACACCATGAAGAAGCATAAAGTCTTTTTCTTATCTCTTGTGTAAGGGGGGAAAAAAGGTAAGAAAATGATTATTTTTTATTTCACTTTCAGATTTTGTTTAGGACACGTGTAATAACGCAGATGTGACCCTGTTTATTCATTTTTTTTATGGTTTCAGTATCAGCTTTGTCTTTAGTGTGCTTCATAGCTCATATTATCACAAAGTTTGATTTCATTTTTTCCAAAACTTGCTTGACAATTTCTGCAGTACCTTTAGATACTTCTGTCCACAAACCTACTTATTTATTACTCTAGGAGGAAAATTGATTCGTCTTGCCTAGAATCAAAGTGCTGGTGTTGTGATCTAGGGGTGCTGGGAACCCCAAAATTCAAGAGAAAATAACACAGGTCCTGCCTCAAATGAATTTGACCCAAGCCTTCCTTTCAGCTAGAGATAAGATTTATTAAAACACTAGTTGGGGTGGGTGAGATTTTAAGAATCTGAGCTATTTGGTGATGCTTTGTATTGACAAGCAGGCCAGACTTTTAGGGAATCTGAGCGATTTAATGGGAGCAAGATGGATACTTATATATGGTGGTCAAGGAGTGACCAATAGCTTGGGTGACAGGGAGGTAACAGAAAAGGACCCAGAAGGGCTGGGAAGGTGGGAGGAGTCTAGACGGAATCAAGGAGTGGCAATATAGGGTAGGGCAGATAATGAGGATCACTATGAAAGGGCAGTTGAAAGGATTAACTGGGAAGGGCCAGGTGCCCCAGGTGAACACCTGGGACCTAGGCCATGTGGGAAATTTCAGTGTCTTTTAGGGGTCCATCATTAGTACTCCATCACTTTTACTTTTACTTAAGCTTGTTTGATGGTGGAACTATACACAGAATTGAGTAGCATTCTTGGGACCTCAGAAATCTTAGAGTCCAGTGTTTTCCAAACTTTTGAATGCCTACATTAGTAAAAATTTTTGAGTGTGTACACCCGCAATATGTGTATTTATAAATCATATATGTATACTACTATATGACTATGTATGTACATTATAAAACTTGAACAGAAATAAAACTTTTAAAAAGGATGAAATAGAGATGAAACAGTATTCCTACTACAGTGAGTGAGTGAAAGAAAGTCTTTATTACTCTTCTCGTGAGAGAAGCGGGCACAGTGTACTTTAGTAGCACATGGGCGCTGGTTCAGTGGTAGAATTAACTTTTAAATTGTTAGTAAGATCAATACTCTACCCATCAAGGCTGCTATTGATCTAGTTCATCTGAGTTACACCCTTCCTGGACAGCCCACCGCATGTTCGTCCATGTTCTGTTAACTCTGCCCGCTTCATGGGTCCCATGTTCAAAAAGGGTGGCTATCTCCGCCCTTGGGGTGTGTCAGTTCATATTCAATAAGCTTATTAAGCAAGTGCAGTGGAGAAGAGCCTTTGTCTGGTCAAAGCGCTGTCCTTGAACCTGACAGGTTGCAACCGGTTTAGCCTCTAGGGCTCTTTCTTAAGGAACTAGTTGTTTATAGAAAAGTTTGGAGCACTTTGTGATTGGTTGAGGAACTATCCACAAGATCTTGGAATCTCTTATCCTGTTGTGGAAGCCTAACCCCCTAAACTCTTTCTTTCAATGAGTCAACGAGTCAAGGAGTCAACTGGAATTTAAGTAGGAGTGACAGGCTCAAACTTACACTTTAGGAAAATCAATTTGCCTGCTGTGTGGTGTATGGATTTAAGAAGAGAGAGACTCATGGTGAGGGGACCAATAAGGAGGTTATTCCAATAATCTGAGTTAAAGGTTGTAAGGGTTAGGGTTAGGGTTGGGGTTCTGTGGACAAGAAGAGAAGATAAGAAGGAGTGAATGTGTTGTGATCTATATATTGGAAAGAGTGCACACATCAGTGAAATCACAGGCACATTCAGATGTTGAGTATAAGGTCTTAAGCCTATAGTACTGTAAGGTCTAGAAAACATGTTCTTCATAAAAATCTTGTGGAGTAGAGGCACACTGTGGGTCCTACCATTTATGGATGACAAAAGAGACACTCGGATTAAGCGATGATTTACCTAAGGTCATACAGCAAATAAGTGGCAGCACAAGATTGGAATTTGGGTCTTCTGGCTGCACAATCATCATTCCCCCCACCCCCCAGCTTTCATTAGGAATAGAAATGTTCAAATATGTGGTATTGAGCAACACCAACGCAGGAAGAGCAGAAACTTCTGTCCTGTTGTACTGTAGCAAGAAAGATGCTGAGACTCTTGTTATCATTGCACCCAAACGCAAGCACCCAAGCCCCCCATCATTTCCCACTTAAACAGATAGGACCCAAAATCTTTTGAGGTGAGGGATGAAGGTCTCAGCTTCTGAAACTGCTTCCTGCTGGGATTGGGCATAGAGCCGTCCCAGTCTCCTAGGGTTCCTCTGTTCAAGGGGTCGGTTCTCTAGCCAGCATCCGGAACTTGGCCGATGCCAGGTCCAAGGGGTGATGGGTTGTGGTCACAGATAGAAGTTGGTACCCAGCTTGAGCTGTCATCTGGAAGTGGAGGGCACTGAGCCTAGAGGAGACAAATCTGGCAAGGAGATTAAGCAGACAAGGGCCAAAAAGAAGTAAAAGGCATAGAATCAGGAGTGAGACAAAAATAGTAGTTAACAAAGAGAGAAGCCAGGATCCCCAAGAAGAGGATGACTCTGGTGTACTAAGGTTTTCATGGATGTCTCACATCCAGGTGATTTTCTCTAGTATATTTTCAGTACAAAGCTCCACCTGTTGAGAGTTGTTAACATACATACAGCAGGAGGTGTTGGTCAGGGCACAGACACCTCCACTAAGCAAGTAGATAATCCAAAGCTGTCTGATTGTCCAGGACCACATTTGCCAGGGAATCCAGAGGTTGCTGAATGTCCCAGAGACGATAAGCTGTGTCATTTGCCAATTGGTGAATGGTCCCTGTCAGGTTTGAAAGAATGAACTCATGTTGTAAATGTCCATACCAAGGCATGAGATACTCGGCTCCCTTTTTAAGGTACCAGAGAACATTGTCCCAGAATCCACGCTTTACTCTTGTTAGAGTGGAGGGACTGGGTGTAGTAATATTGAAAATGGTCACAGGAGGTGCCAGAAATCCCAGGGACCCCACACCAAAATCTTTATAAGGTGTTAAACGCTGGGTGGCTAGAACAACAGTCCTGGGGTCCTGCCAAGTAGTGGCATTTTGCTTTACTTCTTCCCCCGAATCCTTACCACCTGGCCCACCCAACCCACAAAGGAAGGAATATCCCTTAGGGGTACAGATGGGGCCTGTTTGTAAAATGTACTGAGCATGGATGCCCCATGGATCGGTATGATTACATGCCAATATTCCAGGTAAGAGAGAAACTTTCAAAAGATCAACAGGAGTGTTCTAGCTAGAGGGGGGCTGTGGCATTGTGTGTCAACTGGGAAGAGAAGGTTAAATAGAAGTACCTACTAGGAGAGTGGCAGGAGGAATTCGGTCATAGGTGCAAGTAGGGAGTGTTCCCTCAGAACAGGTGGTACAGCTGGCAGAGGTAAAGTTCTGGGAACACTCATCACTGTAGGCATCCTTAGAGGTGGTACAAGTCAAGAGACTAGCAGAGACATTTACAATCCCTCCCCTGACTGGGGTCTTTACCTGTACGGTGGCCGTAGAGCTTGTCTCCCAAGCAAGGGAATAATTCCCTGTTGAGAAACAGGGTGTTGAGATAGAAAAATTTTCTCATAAAGGAGTGGCCAGTACAAAAGGGTGACAAAGACCTCTGAGTTGGTTACGTTAGGGAAGGGGGTTTCTTGCAAACACTGCCTTAAACAAAAGAGGTTCCTAACTTTAACCTCACAACTGAGTAGATACACAATCTTGTTCCACAAACTTGTTTATCCTCTAATTATACTTCAGAAATTGAATCTTTTACATATGATAAATTCAAACACGGATTTTACTCTTACTTAGGCCATGAGATGACTACCAATTCAGATCAAAAACAGCAAGATCTCACATACTTACATTGTGTTCATGTCTGTTACTGACTACTTGCTCTGATCATAGAAATTTGCTATAAAAGGAAAAGGCAGGGTCTCAGATCAAGACCAAGACACCTTGGGCTGGGCAAGGTACCCCTCTCTCTCTGTCTTGATGAGAGAATGCTCTGCAACAAGGGAAAGCTTTCTCACAAGACAGGAACTTACTAAGGAATTGGGAGGCTTTCAGAGACATGTACTGAGGGCTGGGGCCTGAGCAGCCCCGCACTCTCTCACCCAGCTTTTTGTAGCTGCACCAGGGAGAGAGTAAAGGGTCTTGCTGGGGCCCACGCATGAGTAATTGCTAGGGACGGTGTCCTTGGGCTGGGGAGTGATTGTCAGAGACAGTGTTTCTGAGACTAGGGAGAACTTGGGGTCCAAGCACAAGCACCCAAGCACCCCATCAGAACTGTGAACTGATCCAACCCTTTGAGTTATTAACTGGCTATACCCTTTGACCCAGAAATACCACTGCTATGTTTGTTTCCCAAGGTGATTAGGGAAAAAGGAAAAGAACCTATATGTTCTAAAATATTTACAGCAGCTCTCTTTGTGATGGCAAAGAACTGGAAATTGCAGGGATGCCCATCAATTTGGGAATGGCTGAAAAAGTTGTGGCATGATTGTGAAGGAATACTACTGTGCTATAAGAAATTATGAGCTCAATGATCTTAGAAAAACATGGATAGACTTGAATGAAATAATGGCAAAATGAGCAGAACCAAGAGAATGTTGTATACATTAATAGTAATATTGTTTTCGGAACAGCTTTGAGTGGCCGAGTTGTTTTGACTATTATAAATACTCAAATTAACTACAAAGGACCTATGAAGGAAGACACTCTCTGTATTCAGAGAAAGATATGATAAATAGAAGTGTGTATAGAATGATTTTCCGTGTGTGTACATACACACATGCGCGCACACACACACACATTTGTGTCTAATGGTAGCCATCTGTAGGGCAGGGATGGGAGAAGAGAAGAAAAAAAGGGAAAAAAGTTACATGATAACTTTGTTATGTAGCAAATTGTACATGATAAATTTGGAGTTTCATGTGCAATCATCTTTTTTTTTCCTCTTCTACTATGTTATGGAAATGCTTGTTTTATTTCTTAAGTTCAAAATAAAATACATAAAAAATTTTAAAAAAGCAAATATTCCAAAATTATGAAGAACAAAGAAGAGATGAGAAGACACTCCTACCCTGAGCCCTTTTTAGAGATGGGAGGCTCACAAGTGTTGTTCATGAAAACAAAAAACAAACAAACAAAAAAAAAGACAAGGGTTGTTCATGGTACATATTTTCAGACTTAAAAAAAAAGTATTGATTTATTATGCTGTTTTTTTCTTCTTTTTTGTCTTAAAAGTACTATTTGTTACATGGGATGGCTCTCTGGCAGGGGAAGGAGGAGGAATACTGGGATACTATAGTGATATAAAAAGCAAAAAAAAATCAATAAAAACTTATTAAAATAAATGTATTGCTTTGAAAAACTCTCAGACTTATGGTTATTGTATACCTCTCCCATGAGGCCTTCAGTAAATGTGATGGTAATTGAGTCTCTGTGTACATGAACTCTGTATCTTGCACTCAGACCTCTATCCTAGACCCTCTAATCTTGTTGCCCAGCAACTTTGGAGAGAATAGTGTAGCGTAGTGGTAAAAGCTCTGAATGTTGAGTCAGGAGACCTGGCATTTATTTGCAGCTCTGTTCGTCTTACCTAGTCATGTGACCATATGAAATGAGCAAGTCATTTCTTATCCTGGAGCCTATTTCCTCATCTGTAAAATAGGGATGATACTATTTGCACCATTTGCCGCTTTGGGTGGTTATGAGGAAGGTGTGAGAGATGTTAGATGCTCTTATGACCTGGTTGTCTTTTCTGGCTGATCCTACCTGTTCGCTTCTCAGCCATCTAAGTGATCTTCCTGAAGCACAGGTCTGTTCAGTAAACTCCAAGATTAGATATTAAGTCTTGCCTTTGATTTTTAAAGCTCTTTATAACCTAACCCATATAGAACTTACTCTGATGCACTTTTAGTCTCAACTAAAATCCCATCTTCTATAGGAAGCCTTTCTCAACCCCTCTTAGTGCTAGTGCCTACCCTTTCCTAAATATTTACTTTTTTATCCAGTATATAGTTTATTTGTACATATTTCCTTATTATCTCCTCCATTAAATTGTGAGCTCCTTGAGGGCAGATTTTGCCTCTTTTTGAATCCCCAGTGCTTAGCACAGTGACTGGCACATAGTAGGTGCTTAACAAGTGTTTATTGACTAACTTTGTTAGGTTGATCCTTAGATATTTTATGTATTTTGTAGTTATTTAGAATGAGATTTCCCTTTCTCTTATTGCTTTTTGTTATTATTTTATGGAAGTACTATTATCTTTTGAGAGTTTATTGTGTAGCCTGCAATTTTGCTAAAGCTGTTGTCTCTATTAGTATCTTTGCTGATTCTTTAGGATTTTCCAAGTATACTACCGTATCAGCAAATAGGGAGATTTTTATCTCCTCTTTAGTTTTCTTTATACTTTCAATTTCCTCCTCTTGTCTTATTGCTGTTACTCTCATTTCCAGAATTATAACAAAAAATAGTGGGGAGAGTGGGCATCCTTACTTCACACCTGTATTTATTGGCATAGGTTCTAATGTATCTCCATTGCATATAATGTTTGCTTTTAGTTTTAAATAGATGCTTTTTATAATATTAAAAAAAAGTGACTCTGTGCCTATATTTTGTAGTTTTTGTTTTTCAATAAGAAAGAATGTTAGTAGTATTTTTGTCAAAGATTTTTTCAGCATCTATTGAGAGATGATCATGTAGTTTTGGATGTTTTGGTTTTTAATATGATTAATCATGTTAATTGTTTTCCTAATGGTGACCCATCCTTGCATCCCTGGTATAAATCCCACTTGGTCATAATGAATGATTTCTTGGATAATTCCCTGTAGTCTTTGACAGGATTTTGTTCAACTTTTTTGAGTTGCTATTCATTAATGATAGTGGCTGATAGCATAGCACTTTCTTTGATGCAGGCACACCTTGCTGGGTGGTCCTGTGTCAGTGTCTCTCATGTCTCACAATCGATTCCACAGTTCTTCAGAGAGACTTTGAGAATGTCTTTGTATTGCTTCTTCTGACCTAGGTCCATGTGAGTACTTGCTTTGTGTGAGTTCTCTGTAAAATAGTCTTTTAGGTAAATGTGCGTTTGGCCTTTGAAAAACCAGCTCATCAGAGTTGCACCCTCTGCAGTAGAGTTTGAATGCGTAGCAGTTCAGCTCAAAAAAGAACCTCAATGTCCGGTACCTAATCTTGCCAAGGAATCTTCAGAATCTTCTGATGACAATTCAAATGGAAGCAATTCATTTTCGAAATCAGATCCTCTCCCACACTTTCCTTCAGAGCCTCCCAAACACTGAGCTAGCTTTGGCAGTGTGTGCATGAACCTCATCATCTTTGTGTTCATCCCTGGAAAGTGTGCCGACAAGGTAAGGGAACTGTCCAAAGCCTTCAAAATTTCTCTATTTGCTGTAACTGATGGTTCCATGTATAGATGGTGTGGTGCTGGCTGGTGAAGAACCTCTGTTTTCTTGGTGTTAATTTCAGACCAAAATTAGCGCAGGTGGCCAAGAACCAATCTATACTTTGTTGCATCTCAGCCTCAGAGGCTTCTTTGAGTGCACAGTCATCTGCGAAAAAAAAATCACACACGAACTCTCCCTCTACTTTAGTCTTGGCTTTTGTAGCCTTTTCAGGTTAAAAAAATTTACTGTCAGTGTGGTAGCTGACCTTCATGCTGTTTTCATTCTCGTCGAAGGCATCCAACAACATCACTGAGAACTTCATGCTAAAAAAAAGCATGGGAACAAGCACAAAGCCCTACTTCACTTCATTATAGACTAGGAAAGCACATGATTATTGTCCATTATCTACAGCCCATGCAAACATGGTGTCATGAAATTGATGTAAAATACTGATGAACTTCTACAGGCAACCAAATATTGCCGTAATTTTCATCAAGCCCTCATGACTGACAGTATCAAAGGCCTTTTGTTGGATCTACAGACATTGTGTACAGACCTCTGTTCTGCTCCTGGCATTTCTCTTAGAGTTGTTGGGCAGCAAACACCATATCAACCATTCCTTGGCCCTTTCTGAAGCGACATTTGCTCTTGGGGAGATATGAGACTAGAATTTAGAAGAAAAATTAGGACTGGTTATCTAGCTCTCTAAGTCTTCAGAGTTGATAAATGAGTGAATGGTGAGGTCATCACCGGAGAGAGTGTAGAGAAAGAAAAAAGAACCGGTACAGAGCCTTAGGGGAACACCCACAGTTTGTGGTTGTGACATGGATGAGGAGCCAGCAAAGGCTGGTCAGAAGGAGCAGTCATGTAGGTTGCAGGATACCAGGAGTTGACCTATTAAGCCACAAAGAGGAGAGAGTATCCAGGAGTTGGTAATCAACAGTGCCTTGTGCTACAGAGAGGTTGAGAGAGATGAGAATTGAGAAAGAACAGTTAAATTATGAGGAATTGCTTTCCTTGTCTGGTCAAGGAAAAGCCCATGTTAATGAGGTCTTGGATCCTTGGATCCTATGACATGTAGAAATATCTTAGTTGAAAATTCACCAATGATAAAGGAAAATATAATTGCCCCAATACTGATTCTAGATAGATAGCGTGCTGCTGTGCTTTAAAAAATATTCATCAATATCTTTCGTTTGAAAACCACCATCATTTCTGAATATGATTCCAACTCTTTTCTTTTCCCACAGACGTCAATTTTTTAAAAAAAGAGAAAAAAAATCAACAAAGTTCAACATATGTAAGATTCAATTCCCATAGTCCACTACCTCTTTAAAGAAATGGGAAAGGTACATTCTTCTGTCTCTTCTTTTGGGGCTAAACTTGGTTATTATAATTTCATAACATTTAGCTTTGTTTTATTGCTATTCTTTCCTTTTACATGATTGTAATCATTGTGTATATTATTTTTCTGGTTCTACTTCACTTTGCATTGATTTCCCTGCTTCTCTATGTATATTATGTTTATAATTTCCTATAGCACCATAATTCCATTACATTCTTGTGACGTACCTTGTTTAGACTTTCTAATTCTATTTTGTTTCCAGTCCTTTGATAACTCAAAAAGTATTGCTTATAAATATTTTGGTATAATTGAGACTTTTGGAAAAAAAAATCAATTGGCCTCCTTGTGGGTATGTGCCTAACAAAGTGATCTCTGTGTTAGTGGTTATGGGTCTCTTTTAGCTATGTGATAATCAGCAAGTAACTTAACCTTTCAGGCAACTCTCTTAAGATTACAGGTTGTAGACTAGATGTTGGTTTCCATCAGTATTTCATCACTCAGAGTTCCCTATGCTGATTTAATCACAAATCTAGACCAAAAAGAAAAATAAATCCAAATTTTATGTTTGTTGCTTTGTTTTTTATTTGAACTTTATAGCTTAAAAATGCATTTCTATTTCATTCTACCAGTTTTCATTTAGTTGAGATTTAACCTGTTTACTCATGGATGAGTAATAGTTCGATTTCATTCAATAGATATCAAGTTTAAATATCAATCTTGTGCTATGCACTGTGCCTTGCAGAAAGAGAGAGAGATAAGAGACTGGTTGAGTGATGTTATTGATGTACAAAATATACCAGTTAAAGAAACTGCCTGCCAATGCAAGTCAGTGCCTTTTCTCAGTTTATAGTTTAGTTGCCCCTACACAGATAACTCTTTTTGTTTTGTTTTGGTTTTGGTTTTTGGTGAGGCAGTCAGGGCTAAGTGACTTGCCCAGGGTCACGCAGCTAGTAAGTGTCAGATAACTCTTAATACATAATAAATAAATAGTAAATAAATATAATAAATACAACAGAAAAGTATAAAACCAAAACTTTGTGGCTTCAGGGGATTGGTGGAAGAGTTTGTCCCAGAGCTTTTTACCCATCCACACCTTATTTCATGTTCTTTTTGTCCATGTCTCTTCATAAACCCTCTGGAAGTTTTCCTTTTATACATATGTAAATAACTGTAACAAAAAAAGACAGAGCTTAGTTAAATGTCCGAGATAGGTATATAATGCTCTGTGACATCATATGGGAGACCTCCTGCGGAACTTATAACGAAGAATACATTTTTGGACATGGCTAATGTGAGAATTTGTTTTGCTTGACTATGAATATTTGTTATGAGAGTTTTCTTTTTCTTTCAATTGTTCCATGGGGAGAGGAGGAGGAAAGTGGGAGGAAGAGAGAATAAATGATCTAACTTTAAAAACCTAGGGGGAGAAATGGTTATCACCTGCTGGAGGCATCAGGCAAGACTTGACAAAGGAGTTAATATTTTAGCTGGTCCTCAAAAATGATTGGACGGGTTTTTCTTCTGTAGGGTGTACATACTGTGTTTTGGGAACAATGTAAGTTAAAGGTAGAGAGATGGCTGAGAAGAGCATGGTGTCCAGTGTAGCAGGCTTTTCTAGCTTCTGGATGAGAATCATGGCATGGTGAATTTTGTTTTGATCATTTGGAAGCAGTTGCAGCTGATTTAGAAAGTTTATGTTTGGATTTGCCCCTATTTTGATATAGATTATAAACACATTTACTCCTGTCTGACTTGGACTTTGCATATTGCAGTATTTTAATGATGCCAAATTCAATATAAATTCTTGATTTTGTTTTACCTTTTAGGTTTAAAAAATTCACTTGCGTGGTGCTTCCTGACCAATGGAGAACTATTTCCAAGCAGAGGCATACAACCTGGATAAGGTTTTAGATGAATTTGAACAGAATGAAGGTGAGCATTTCCTTTGACATCTGTGCACGTATGTACCACAAAGAAGATGATGGCGGGGCATTGTTAGGTAATGCAGCAATCTTTAGAAACCCAGGGAGCAACAAAGCAAAAACTCTTGCTTGCATTTCCCAGACTTGCAAAAATCAACTTTTCTTTGGTGGTGTCATCCTGTTGGCAACAGATCACTAGATGTTGATTCTTTAGCAAAAGAAAAATCATTTGGAAACCAAAATATGATAGCGTGAGTGTATTTTGCTATAAACAGATGAATACAAAAGAAAGTTGGACTCTGATTCGTTGTCCTAGCTAATCCTGGTACTGGAGAATAGATGATGAAACATACCTTCCTCTTCTTGGTAGATAGGTGGTGGTCAATGGGCTGGGATATTGCATTCATTGTCAGACAAGCCCCCTGGGTTCGTTGCTTTTGCTTAACTATTTTTTTCATTGTGACATGGGAAGTACTTGAGTAAGTACCCAGTCATGGTGCTCACTGTGCAGTGTACAGACTGACAGTATACTCTCTTGGGTCACTTGAGCAATCTCAGAATTACTGGAAAGGATAACTTAAGAATATACAATATTCCAAAGCATCCTTCTGTGTTGTTTCCCCTTTTTCTAACCATGATTCATTAGGAGCAGAATATAGCGAGTCAGCAAGAAAAATGCACTTTCACCCAAACCCTGTAAATTTAGAGCTGGTCTAGACAAAGAAATCTAATTAATTAGTAGTGGCTCCAGGAGTAGGGACAAGCCTTCAATTATTTTCAAGCTTCAGCATAAAGGGGTAGGAAAAATGGTTTTTGCCTCCCTGCCAGTGATTCACCTTGACCTGTAGAGACTGGGGATGCAGGTCTGACCTAGTTTAGTCTACTCCGAGCCTGTGATCATAACAGCTCATGTTTGTAAAGGAAGGACTTTAAGGTTTTTTATAAAAGATTTGCTCTCAGCGTCTCATCCTGGGAGGCAGGTAGTATGAATATTTTTATTTTATTTTATATGAACATTAACGTTTTTCAAAATACTTTTTTTGTATATCATTTCATTTGATCCTCACAACAACCCTGTGAGGAAGATGCTATTATTGTCCTTAATTTAGTGGTGAGAGAGGTTAAGAAACTTGCCCAGGGTCACACAACTAGAAAGTGTCTGAGGCTGAATTTGAATTCATCACTGCACCAGAGAGATTAAGTGACTGGTAGTGATTATATAGTTTGTAAGTATCAGAGCCAGAATTCAAGCCACAGTTCCTAAGTCCAGGTCTCACTTTGACCTCTGGTATTTGATCAGTGCATGCCAGAATTTACCTCATCTCTATAAAGTCTTCAAGACCGTAGAAGACCCTGAACTAAGCCATTTCCCAGGGTCAACATTACTTCAGATGGCTGTGATATACCAGGCGCTGTGCTAGTGGGATATAAAGGCAAAAATGAACAAAGAGTCCCTGCCCTCAAGTAGCTTACATTCAGATACCTCATGTGAAGAGATAAGGCTATAATGATGGTTTAAAATGGTCAGGAATACTAATGGCTAGGGGGGTCAGAACAAGTTTTCCATAGGAAGTAGCAACACATATAAAGCAAGCCATAAGAGAGGCTGGAGATTCTAAGAGGTAAAAGTGAAATCCCTTCCAGTTATGGAGCATTGACTGTACAAAAGCCCAGAGATGGGAACTGAAAATAGCATAGACCATTTGGGCTAGAACGGGGGTGGGGAACCTGTGGCCTTGAGGCCACATGTAGCCTTCTAGGTCCTTGGGTGCAGCCTTTTGACTGAGTCCAAGTTTTACAGAACAAATATTTTAATTGAAGGGATTTATTCTGTGAAGGTTGGATCAAAGAGCTGCACTTGAGGGCCTAGAGGGCCACATGTGGCCTTGAGGCCTCAGGTATCCCACCCCTGGGCTATAGAATGTCAAATACGTGAAGAGGAGTAACGTATAATAAATCTGAAATGGTAGGGTGTAGCCAGATTAATAAAGACTTTAAATGCCAAGCTGAATAGATGGATGGATGGATGGATGGATGGATGACTCAGTGAATAAAATCTTTTTAAAAAGTTTAGTAAGACCATCTGTAACACTCTCAAGGAATTCACATTCTAGTGGAGGCAACAGCACATGTAGGTTTTAGTTGTAAGTCAGCTGGAAAGATCCCATGGTCTTGAAGATGCTATCACAAAGCAGATGGTAGTGCAACTTCTTTAATATTTTTCTACTGATAATCCTGTCTGTTTCGGATGTTGAACTATTTGATAGGGCCCAGGACTTTGGCTGTGAGAAATCATTTTCTGGGACTTCAATAGCTGTCACCTCATAGGAGGCAGGGACTACAACACCTGCTGATGCAGTTGCCCGGTGGTATCTCTACGGTTATTGCTTGCTTCCTAGGTTGATGGCATTGAGAACTGGGACGGAAGCAGAGCTGGTAGTTTGTGGGTTGCTGCCACTCTTGGGCCTTTTGGGGATACTCATCCAGATAGGGATGCTTGGTCAGCGGTTAGTGTTGGTGGTAGGAAGAAAAATTTGTAGCCTATCCTGGAGATGATAGAGTGTTACTGAAGGATCTCGAGCAGGGCACTGACATATTGAACTTGTGCTTTAGTAAGATTATTTTGGCAGCTGTGTGGGCACTTTGGAAGAAAGAGAAACAGAATCCAGTACAGGAGTTAAGACACTGTTGCAAGAAACCAGATGAGAAAAAATCTCTGAGCTAGGGCATTTCCCTGTGGATAGAGAGAAGTAAATGGATTATAGGAATATTGTGGATGGGAAATGAGCAAGATGTAGCAGCTGATTGGATGTGTGGGTGAAGGGGGCAGAAAGTCAGGGAGAGTTCTGAGTAACTTGGATGACTTGAAGAGTGACGGGGCCTGGCCTAACATAGAGTCTGAAGTCAGTAAGTAGGCTGGAAGAATGAGCAAACAAAAAGAAGAACCCCACTGTTAGAGTTATGGTGACAGGGATGCTTAAAACACTAACATAGAAGAGGGAGAGAAAAGAAGGGAGGAAGGGAGGAGGGAGAAGAAAGAAGGAAGGGAGGAAAGAAATGAACATATTTATTAAAGGTACCTGAAAAGGAGGGAGAGAAGGTGCCTATCACTGAGACATAATTCTGAAGTTCAGAAAGTCAGGAAGAGGGCCAGGATGGGATTTAAGATAGGCTAGTCTGGTCTCCCTCACAAAATGGCAGCTCCAGGAGGAAGTCACCAGTGGGAGAAGGGGAGCAGGGTTTGCAGAGGGATATTTTAGTGTCAGGGCATGATTTTGAAGTCCAGAACATCAGGAACAGGGACAGGAGGGGAGATGCCAAAGCATCGGTGAGCAGAACCTCAAAGTAAAACACAGCTTGGGCACAAATACAGCTGGAATTCTGGAAGAGGTGAAATGAAGTGAGAGTTTTTTAAAAAAAATTTGAAATGTTTTTATAACTGAAATAAGAGTGCTAGAGGAAAAAGTTGGGGGAAAAAATGAGAGCAATGGAGGAAAAAAATGGAAAGGGCAAGCTTGGCACAAGAGGTAAAAAACCTTGCCCAAGCAACAAACTCCCCGAAAATTAGTATGGATTAAGTAGAAGCTAATGACTCCATGAGACAAGAATTATTAAAATAAAGTCAAAAGACTGAAGAAAATAGAAGAAAAATGTGAGATATCTCTTAGCAAAAATTACTAATCTGTAAAATTGATCAAGGAGGAAAAAAAATAAGAATCATTGGACTACCTAAAAGTCATAACCAAAAAGGAGCCTAAACATTATATTTCAAGAAATATTAAAAGATAACTGTCTAGGTCTCCTGGAACAAGAGGGCACAGTGAAAACAGAAAGAATCTACCAGTTACCTCCTGAAAGAAACTCCAAAATGAAAACTTCCAGGACAAGTATAGCCAAAACCCAGAGTTTCTAGGTCAAAGAAAAAAAATCTTACATCTAGCCAGAACGAAAGAATTCAGGTGCTGTGGAGCCACAGTCAGAATTGCACGCAATTTAGCAGCCACTATGGCAAAGGAGTAGAGAGTTTGGAATATGATATTCCAAAAAGCAAAGGATATAAGCCTTATAACCAAGAATAATATAACCAGTAAAATGTAACCAGTAAAATAATGTAACCAGAGTACAATCCTACTGTGGAATAAATGGATCTTTAATGAAAGAGAGGACTTGAAGCATTCCTGATGAAAAGACCAGAGTTATGTAGAAATTCTAAAGTACATCCACAGGATTCAAGTGAAGCATAGAAGGGTGAACTTGAGCAAGCAATCATAAGGGACTAAAAAAGGATAAACTCATTATGTCTTAATAGGAGATGTGTCTTTTCTCTGAATCTTGTCATCATCAGGAGTCATAGAAAGAGGACCTAGAAGTGGCTCTGTTTTGTCTCAATAATCTTAACTGAAGAATGGAAAAAGAGTTGAAGAGAAATACACTGGAGAGGGCAGTGGAAAGGGAAAGTTGGGGAAATTATTTCATGCTGTCAGGGTGTGCAAGTATAATTCTGTACAAACAAGGAGGAAGGAGTGGGGGGAATGGCTGACACTTGAATCTTACTCCCATGTCTGTTGGTCAAAGGAGAGTAGAATACACACACACATTTAGGTGCAGAAATATATTTTTCTAAACAGGGAAACAGGAGGGAAAGGGAAAAAGACAGAGAGGGGAATTAGAGGGGAGGGTGTTCAAAGAAGAATTAGTTCTGAGCAAAACAAACTCTTAAGGATACTATTTTTGTGGTTGTTGTTTGTCCTTCATTCTTGAAGAGGACCATGACATCAGGGAGGTGATGTCATGACTTGTAAGCGAATTGGATTTGTTATAAAGATGACCCCAGACTCAGTTCCAAAGACTGGTGTTTCAAAGACTTTTTCTTAAAGAGGTTGAAGTGCGTTCTTTTGATTCTCTCAAGAAGCGGGCACACCTCCTTGGAAGGGGAGAACTGCGTGCATAAAAGAAGCCAAAGCAAGCTTTATAGTTAGTAATTGCCTAACTCCTCCCTTCTGGATCAGG